AAAATTCTCCTCAGTTCTAGGTTGCTTCTCTCCTTGATTAGTTTCCACCCTTTGCTTCTTGTTCTACCCTCAGGTGCCTTGGAGAATAGTTTGACTCCCTCTTCTTTGTGGCAACCCCTGAGATATTAGAACTCACAGTCTCCTGCTTTCTAGCCTGGTGTCTTAACCATTAGACCATACTGGCTCTCATTTTACTTCTGTTACCAATAAGAAAACCCCTTTTCCCAATACCTGAGCGACAGCTTGATCTGCTGATTCGATCTTGTCATAGGTCACAAAAGCACAACTGAGTGGGGGGAAAAATAAAGAGCAGTTAGTGGGGTGGGTGGGAAAGGTCCCATGTGGCTGAGTGCTCAGTGGCACAAGGCACCATTTACCAAGGAACCATGGTCAGTGTGGGTCAAAGTTAGAAATCTGTTCCTCCTGTCAGGCCTGGAAGCCATCAGTTGCTTTGGGCCTTCAGGCCTGCAACAATTAATGTTGGGGGAAACTGGGAGGGGGGGATTATATGGAGTATGGGAGATACATAGTCAAAATAACATTCCTTTCTCAGAGAGTCAAGGTCATCTGGGCTGTGGTGGTGTGATTGGGAGGCATCTCCAGTTTTGGGCCATGTGATGGATACGTGAGTGATGGGCAGGGCCTTGGACTTTCACTTGGGTGGGGAAAATCTGGAAGCTTTCAGATTTGGGTTTTCCCAGATGTGCCAATATGACATCTCTAATAAAATGGGACTTTTGAGGAATCTCAAGCCTTGGAGTCTTCTTTCGTTGGGGGCGTTGCTTGGAACCCTGACACCTCCGACCTTAATGGGAAAAGCTGTAGAGGAAGGGGAAGGACTTTTCCCCCCTTCACTAAACCAGGCTTGGGCATGGCCAGCGCATGACGCATCCAGCCCACGGGCCGCGGGTTTGACAGCCCTGCAATAAATTGTTCTTTGAGGAATCTACTTGCCTCGGAGTTCTGCTTTCAATGGGTGCGTTACTTAAAACGTTTAAAGTACTGTCTGTGTGACCAAAATCAGACCATGGTTCAGCAGCACCTGAACAAACAATACTAATTTACATNCGCGCTTTTGCCGTCCGCGCTTTTGACGGGTCACGGGAAAAAAGCATCTTTGCCCCAATCCACTCGGGCAGCCATACTGGCTGGGGAATTCTGGGAATTAAAGTCCAGAGGTCTTAAAGGATTCCCAGGATGGACATCCCTGCATTAGAGGGTTTCTCCTGCATCTCCCTTGCATTAACCCAACTTACTTTTGGCTTCACCTTCCGAGTCCAAGAGCGTTTGAATCCCGAGTTCTTGTTCTCAACTTTAATAGCACTGATGGCCCCCGTTTTCACCAGCATCTTAGCTTGTTCTGTGGCTGTCGCGGTGTCGACTACCGGCTGATCTGAGATGGCTGGAAACAGGGAAGAAAGGGAAAAACTGCTGTCCCAAAATGGGCAACATTGGCAAGAGGACGCCTCCCTCACAACAGCTCATTGTTTCCCAAAAGTCCGACTTACATCGTTTAATTCCTCCCTGGATGGCCTGACTGGTTGAACCCTGTTGCTTTTTTAAGGCCATGAGGGCCTTTTTCTGGATGGGAAGAAGAAGAAAAATAAAAGTCAATAAAAGATACGTATAGTCCAACATCCCTTCCTTCCCAAAAAGGAACTTTTGCTAGTCCCTTTATTTCCTATTCCTAACTCCTACCCTCAAAACGACACTATAGGGAACTGCACACCAAGACAACTAGACACAATGATGACATTTTTCCCAAATGTCATCACTCTTCTAAACAAATAATTCCCTCAACACTGCCAAACTATTTACTAAGTCTCCTTACTATTACTATTAGTCTCATCGTTCCGATCACCCATCTCTTCCCACTTATGACTGCAGGACTGTAACTTTGTTGCTTGTATCCTTGCGATTTATATTGTTTCCTAGTATGATTTGATTGCTTATTTGTACCTTATGGCTACCTTATGATTCTTGACGAATGTATCCTTTCTTTTATGTACATTGAGAGCATATGCACCAAAGACAAATTCCTTGTGTGTCCAATCACACTTGAGCAATAAAAAATTATATTCTACTCTATATTCTATTCTATATTCTATTCTATATTCTATTCTTTATTCTATTCTATATTCTATTCTATTCCTATTCTATTCTAACATCATGACTGACATTCAACCCCTTGATCTATACAGGTAGTCCTTGATTTAACGGCCACAATTAAGCCCAACATTTCTGTGGCTAAGCCAGACACTTGTTAAACTTTGCTCCATTTTATGACCTTTCTTGCCGCAGTTGTTAAATGAATCCCTGCAATTGTTAAAAAGAGAATCTGGCATCTACACTGACTTTGTTTGTCAGAAGGTCGCAAAAGGTGGATTACATGACCCCGGGACACTACAACGGTCATAATACAAGTCAGTTACCAAGTGCTCGAATTTGGATCACGGGACCATGGGATGCTGCAACAGTCGTATGAAAAACGGTCATAAATCATGTTTTTTCAATGCCGCTGTAACTTCCCTAAATGAACTGTTGTTAAGTCAAAGACTACCTGTACTTGTAAGAATATTATTTCATCCTCAAGGTGAATAAGCTCACCTTTTTCTTCAGCTTGGCAAATTTCTTCTGCAGAGCCTCCTCATCTTCTGTTAACCCGGGTGGCAAAACAATCATGATGGAATGATAACCGTACTGCCTAGAATTGGAAACCAAGGAAGGAATCAGTCAGGTGAAGCTTGGTGTTTAATTACTGATGGGCATACATGCAGGCAGGGCACCCTTAGAATTAGCAAATACACATTTAATATATATTTACCATTGCATTTAATCTTTCTATATAAAAGCCAAATACCACTCACTCATCACGAAATCTCCAGAACCGTAAAGCCTACAAACTTGAAATTTG